GGGAATTCTGGGAGTTGAAGTCCACACATCTTAAAGTGGCCAAGGTTGAGAAACACTGTGGGAATGACGCAGTCAGGGGCAACCACTCCACACTAGCCCAGCTATCCTTCTCTAAATGGCTGTTCTACCACAGGGCTTCACAAACCCGACCTGCTGGAGCTGAAATAAAACCTCATTGCACAGAAGTGAAAAGCGAAACACTTTTGACATTTGAAAGTCACATTTCAGGGTTTGAGAATTTTGATTTTTAAATTCAATTTTGGAGAGAAGCGTTAACCACCACCTTGAACTCAGGCTGAAGAAGGTCATTTATTTTCTGGCCCGCTCTGAGGAGGTCAGAGGGCCGGGTCTGTCCATCGGAAACGGCCGAATGCCCACTTATATCCCAGGCAGTGAAATAATAACAATACTGTATTATCCACCACTTGGAAGGCTACTGCAGAGAGGAAAAGCCAAAGCAGTGATTCACTCAGAGATACTGCAGGCAGCCTCCACAGAGGGGATTATAAAAGGCAATGCATTTTTACATTCTATTCAAGGAGAGCTTTGCTGCTGGACCAGATGTGGAGCAAATGCCTCTGGCACTCCCAGCCGTGTTCCACTTGTTCTGCCATCCTTTCAATGGGATCTTGGCATGGCTAATTTAGGCTGGATTGTACCCTCTAAGTCCAATCGCACCTATAATTGCTTGAGGGGAAGGGATTAATATTAGGAGAACTTTTTTTTTTTCCAATTCAAATCTGCCCTCCCTGCTGCCCCCAGAATTTCATCCTTCAGTTTTTGCAAGCACATTGAATCAAGAGAAAAGTTTGCTTGAAAATATTTCCTTGCTCCTTCCCCCCGCCCCCATCCTGGAAGGCATATTCCCCATAGAGCATTGCGGGGCTGCCTCATCCTCTCCCGTTATGCATACCCTGTTGAGACCGTGTGCCTATGCTGGTACTAACCCATTCTCTAGCCGTGGCATAAACTTTGGGCTAAAATGTTCTACCCTGTGCTTTGCAACCTCACCCCCCCATCACATCAATAGACCCCCTCCCCACTTCAACTGCAGATCCCCCTGCCCCAATAGAAAAAATGAATAGGAAGGGGGGCAATTTAGCTCCTAGTTCCCAAAACTGCCCCCCTCCAAGCAGTTGGCCTACCCCTCCTTTTTCCACCCCTGGAAATGTGCTGTGCTCTATTCCCTACCCCCCTCCCCTGCCATGTATGTTCTCTTCCTACTTGCTACTGAAATGGAGTCCCTTGTGCGATAGAGAAGATCAGTTGGCTGACTGCCTGGGGGGGTGGGGGTAGCACTGCCTGAAATCGATCACACCCAGCATCCAGAAAAGCAACAAGCAGCTTGCAAGGGGTTTTCCCCCACCTAACTCGAGAGATAGGTGTAATGAGTGCATGATGGTGAATTCAGGCTCCCGAAAAAGAAGGGGGGAAGAAGTGACATAACTTTCCTTATTTCTCAAGTGGGAAAGGGGGAGGCAGGGCGCAACTCCCTGCAGTCTCGGCCACCTATACATATAGTAACACTGGATCACCCCAGCCAGCCAAGCTGCCTGGGGAGGTTGGGGATGGTAAGGGGAGGAGTGGAGATGGAATCTAAATTATTTTGGCAGCCAGAGAGAAAAGGGAGCCAGCTCTCTGCCATCAGCCCACCCCCAACTCCCACCAAGTCTGGGAAGGTGGAGTTCTTGGCAGGCTGGCATCACACCTCAGACTCTGGCCCATCGTAGCTGGTGTCAGAGGCTCTGGTCAAAATGTCCTGTTGGCGCTGTGGCAGCTACCGATGCGGTGGCTCTTTCTTCTTCTGCTGGTGAGGCAGGTGGGCCTGGGGCAAGTGGATGTGCCCAATCAGACTCAAGGGGGAGCTCACAAAGTTAGCGGTGGAGTGTGAGGTGGCCAGAGTGGGCAGGCAGCACTTTTGGGGGGCTGCTGTCATGGGGATGGGGAGCACAGCCTCCGATGGGATCAAAAATGCTGGCGCCAAGCGGAGCTGGAAGACCTTGGGAGGTGGCCCATTCTGAGCCGGGGCCGCTTGAGCCAAAGGTGGAGGAGTTGGAAGTGCTGGGGAGACCGCAGGCTGTTCCTCTTCACAGCTTGGGCTTGGCTTTTCAGGAGTTTTTGCCTTTTCCACCTTCAGGATCTCCTGCAGCTTCTCCAGCTGAGTGCGACGAAGATGAGAGAGCATGCGGCTGTGCTGGAAAGACTCCACAAAGGTCTCAATGGGGAGATCCCAACATAGGAACTGCTCCATCTGTTCCTGTGGACACAGGAAAGGAATATGAAAATGCCGTTTGGGATAGTTTGAGTGCCAAGCAAAATTCAACAATCAGCTCTTCCCAGTGGATTTTACTGCTGAGGCACAGACCAACATGGCGCCCTTTCCCATCCATTTACAAAACTTAAGCGAAGTAGTGGGAGTTTAATCTTTACTTGGCAGTAGTGATGGTACAGTGAATTTAAAGGCATAAATTAGCTTAGGAAGTGAAAAGCAGGGATTGTGTTTTCTCCTATAGCATTTTTCTTGTAACACCTCAGGCTCTTCTTAGACACCTGAAATGGGCATTTTTCCTCAGTTCAGATCCAGGACACTTCCTATTCCCTTTGTGGTGGTTGTGGTTAGAGAAATAAATTCCAAACGCATTTCTGGTATTTTTGAGAGCTTTATAAACTTCTACTTGGCTCAGCTTTGCTGAAAATGTATTACAATGTTTAGTAAACAGAGCAAATTAAATGTTGGGTCAATCACTTAGAAATGTAGGCTCATATAGCTTGTTTATAAGTATAGGCTAGATTCCTTCTCCCTCCCTCTCTCTAGCTGTATTTTTAAGCAGCTCCAGCAATGACAGACAATATGTACAGTGGTTGAGAGTGTTGGATTAAGACTGAGAAGATTCAAGCTCAAGTCAACCCACAGCCATGGAAGCTCACTGGGTAACTTTGGGTTGGTCACTCTCAGTACTCCTAAAGTTTTTATTGTGGGAGAAACTGGACAAGGGAATGTTATGTAGGCCACTAGGAGCCTGTGGAGGAAAGTGGGATATAAATCTAGAAAACAAACAAATGAAACCTAGTAGATGTATTCATACAACATGCTAAGTTTAGTCCTTAGTTTTTTGCTGGGTGAACCCAGTCTCTTTAGTTAGTTTATGGTTTAATTTAATTCGTTTGATTTAGGTGCTGCCCAGCTCCAAATGGCTCTGGGCAGTTATCTATCAATCTATCTATCTATCTATCTATCTATCTATCTATCTATCTATCTATCTATCTATCTATCTATCTATCTATCTTACCATTCAAAAACAAACCAGCAAAAACAAACAAACAAACAAATAAAGAACAGGATACAAATCTGGCTCAAAACTCACAAGGGGCTCCAACCACCCTAGCCCAAGGCCCGGAAGAAGAGCCAGGTCTTCAAGGCCCTCTAGAATGCTATCATGGTTTAATGTCTTGTGCAAATCCAAAACATGGCTTAATTCAATAATCAAATTAACTGCATTGTGTGAATGCAGCTTCTGGCACAGTCTTAAAGGGAACTGGTAATTTATTGGCTCAAAAGGTGATTGGGGAGGTTGCAAACTCTAAGGCTACATTCACAATTTGCCAAAGGAATACATGGAAGAGAATGAGACCTGGGACAAGATTACAAACATTGATAGATAACCCAGTTTCTTTCAGTTGTTTTGAACTACAATTTCTGGAACGTTGCTATGTCAGTGGGTGCTGATGGGAGCTGAAGTCCAAAACAGTTGGAGAGTCCCTCACTGCCTATCTCATTTAAGAATGTGAAGCAGTTCTTTCCAAGCAATACAAACCAGCACAAACCTTAACAAACATAATTTGAATCTGGGCTCCCTCTACTTTCTTAGCCCCTTGACCATATTCTTTTGCAGGCAAAGATGCAAAATCCCCTACAAACACACGTGCACACAGACAGACACTGCATGGACACTTAACAGTATCAGTGACTTAGACTGCTAACCCAACAGTGGCATTGGAAAAGGCTTCTCAGTCATTTCTTAATGGAAAAGAAGCTGTTCCAGTCAAAAGCTCTATGATGCTCTTTGTCTCATGGCACGTTCCATTATGAGAAGGGCAGCCTAGGTGGCTGCAATACTAAAGCTCTGCTACAAGCTCTGCTACAAGGAAAGAATCTATAGCTCTGGCTATCAGTAGATGGCAGCACTCAGCTGACTTTGACTGATCTGGAAAGTTAAGTAGCATCAGCCTTGGTTCATACTTGGATGGGAGACCTCCTGGAATTCCAGGGCTTAGACTAGACAGAGAAATTGGGGGGGGAAATCCTAGAAGCAGGCAATGGCAAGCCACTTCCTTATTGTTGCCTAGAAAATAGCATGGATGTGTCCATGGCGTCACCAGATTTGAGCTTGATGCGAAGGAGGCTTTTTTATATATAAATGCCATAGGGACCTATTTGTCCCTACAACCTCATGCCTCACCTCCACTCCAAGTGTCTTGCTCTCTCTCCCAAGGAGGGGACGACGCTCCATAGCTTGAGTACCACTGAAACAGTCCAACATGTTTAATTTGATATTTTTCGTTGATACGATAATAGTAATAACATAAAGGAAGGGTTCGCACAACACACTGAACCTGGTTACTCAACCCATTTTCTGGATTTGCACAATACATTGAACCTAAACTAACCAAATAGGTTGAGTGCTCAACTAAGCCATAAAAAAAGTAAAACAAAAAATGCTAAAGTTAACCCTACCCAAGTTTGGTATGTTGTGCAAATGCAGTCACTAGGTCTTTCATCAGCCTGGTTAAGTGTGTTGTGTGTCTGCAACTATAGCCAGATAGATAGTTCGTGCTAGCTAAAAGGCTGTTCAGAGCTCCATGCTGGCCACAAGCCAATTCTTCAGAGATGCAGTTTGGAAAAGCCGTATCACTGCACCTCACTGAAGCCCAAAGTTCACGCAACAGACGAGGCCCCTTTCTCAAGCTTGGATAGAAAGAAAGGAAGACTCTGTTTCCCTTCCTTGTCCGTCACACCTCTGTCTTTCCTGGCACAGGCCAGAAGAAGTTTGGGAATTTGACCTCTGATGGGATGGCGTGGAGAAAGGTGGCCTACGGGCACTTTCCTCTTATCTCTACGTGGGCAGAAGGTGCAGAGAAACATTCATCCCTTTTATAAAGAAGAGTATTTCTGGGAGCAGGCTTGGAGAACCCTGCCTGGCTTGCTCCTCATAACTCACCTCCACTTTGGCCTCCACGCTTTCCAGTTCAGCCTGTAGTCTGCTCAGGGCGTTCTCTGGAGTCCACTTTGCCACACACGCGCCTGTGGGACAAAGGGCAAGCTCAGCTTTAGCACCCACGTCAGCCACTTGTGCCGTGATCCTTGTACCCTGGCAGGAAGGAAATCCCAAATGGGGGGGGATCCCCAATCTTTACAAGCAGAATATAATCCCAACAGAGAGACTATAATAGTGCCTTCAACTTCTGTCTCCTCCTTCTCCTGTTGGAGGGGGACTAGAAGCCTAAGTCCTACAGGGACTGCTTCAGAGACAACGTGTTTAGCTTTGAGGAAAGATGACCAAGGGAGGATAGGATAACCTTTGTCAAGTACCTGGAGGGTCATCACAAGAAGACGGTCAAGGCTGCTCTCTCTCATTCCATACTGCAGGACATGGGATACAGTAATGGATTTAAGTTACAGGAAGGCCTGATTTAATGTTAGACAAAACGTCCTCACAGTCATGTACTTGAGATAGGCGGCCAGATGAATCAATCAAATCAAATCAAATTAAATCAAATCAGATCAATCTGGGGGTGTCTCAAAAAAGCCAAGACGGTGAGTGTGACTGTGCAATGGAAGCCCCCCCCCCTTTTTTATGTGTGTGACATACAAAAAGGGAGTGGGACTTCAATCAGCTAGTCACAATCACCATTTTTGGAAACCCTCCCCCTGCCCACAGATGCCCCAGCACTAGGGTCTAAATGGCCCCTTTCAACTTCAAGTTTCATGATTCAATTGGAGCTTGTAAAAGAATTGTAGGGGTGGCTTCAGGTTGGCTCTTGTGTTCACAAACGTTCAAAGAATTAGACGGATTTGCTTATTTACAGTATTTATATACTGCTGACTCTAAAGGTAGTCCTCGACTTATGACCACAATAGGGACTGGAAAATTTGACATTAAGTGGTGCAGCCATTAAGCGAGGCATGACGTGACCACACCTGATTTTATGACATTTTTGCAGCAGTCGTTACATGAATCATTGTGATCTTTAAATGAATCACATGGTCATTAAGCAAATCATGTGGTTGTTAAATGAACCACGCGGTTCCCCATTGATTTGGCTTGTCAGAAGCTGGCTGGGAAGGTCGCAAATGGTGATCACATGACCCTGGGATGCGGCAACCATCGTAAATACATGCCAGTTACCAAGCACCTAAATTTTGATCACGTGACCACAGGGATGCTGCAACAATCATAAACGTGAGGACCGGTCGTAAGTCACTTTTTTCAGCATCATCGTAACTTTGAACAGTCGCTAAACAAATGGTTGTAAGTCGAGGACAACCTGTACATGGATTTCTGGAGGTTTACAAAGCTGAACAAAAACCAGTAAAACTTAAAATAAGTAACAAAACTACACAAAACATCCCAGCATCTGTATTGACTAATCACATCCAATTCTTAAAAACTGCAAATTAATTAATACTATTAAGAGGTTTGCAGAAAAGCCCTGCTTTGACTGCCTTCTTGAATATCTACAGGGAGGGTGCCAGCTGGCTCTCCAGGGGTAAACCATGCCATAGGGATGCAGCTTCAACTGAAAAACTCTCAACTTTTGTTGCCCCTCCCCTAATATCACTAGAGAAGAAGAGAATCTCAAAATTCCCAACTTGTGACAAACACACCAGGTAGGCTGGTTTTACCAGAAGGAAGTACTCTTACAAGCAACTCAATGCTGAGCCATTTGTCGTTTGTAGTTTAAAACCAGGACTTTAAATTGTACTTGCAAGCCTGTCAAAAGCCTATGCAATGATTGTAGACCTGGTGTGGATGACACTGATGGCTTTTACCCACCAGCAGATGAGTAGTTGTGTCTGTACCAGCAGCAACTTCTGGATGTTCTTCAAAGGCAGCCCATCCAGAGCTCACTGCAGTCGTCAAATAGTTAAAACTGTGTCTGTATCTTCTGGAGACAAGGTAGCCCTTGATTCCAGGTCAATCATGAAAGGAAAAGAGGGACGGGGGTCTCAGCAGCTGGCTCCGCATCTGATCTCCTTCCACACACACGTCCTCCATTTCCCAAAATCTAGATCAGTGTTCTCAACTTTAAGACATGTGGACTTCAACTCCCAGAATTCTCCAGCCAGGTTGAGAAACACTGATCTAGATCATATCTAGGCTGGGTTTGCATAGACGCTTATCCAATCCAGTTAAAGGCATAATGACTGTGTCAGTACAGCACATGAAGCTTGAGGAATTTTAACTCTGATTAGTTTTTCATGCATGTTACGCATGAAACCAGTCAGTTTGATTGAATTATGGTTTGGTATGTAATGCAAAGCCAGAAATGGGTTAATTCAATAATCAGTTTAAGCATGGCTGGACCCAATGCCACCAAAGCCAGCAACTACAGAACTCTTTCTCCTCTTTTCCTTAGAATGTCAAGAGTTACTCAGCCAAATCATGGCTTGCTTTAATCATGATTTATTCAATAAACCCAGTTGACATCCTGCACATTCAGCTATAAATCATGGTTTACAAACTACAATAATAACAAGCTCAAATACAAATAAGCAATTCACATTATTGGCTTAGCAGCAATAATGAACCCCGTTTCTATGTTAATGCTGGGACAACGGGAGGGAACCTTCCCAGCTCTGTCCCTTGTACTTCATAAGCTGTCTTTTCTATGTGGTTAGGGAATCTTGCAGAGTGATAACTCTACATCATGCGTCAAACATCCCCCATGTTACAGGAGAAGAGAGGATAGGTGGGTTTGTGTTCTGCTACGCCCTTTTTCTTTCTGTCTGTCTCTTTCTCCAACCACAGGGAGGGTTTATATAAAGCAATGTGGTCACCAAGAGGTGTCTCCCCAAATGCCATGTACTCAAGCTGGAATCTGTAATCCAAACACAATGAAATGACATATCTCTCATTCACATGTTGCATTTATAGTCGAAGAAATACTTCAGTGTCCAGAGCAAAGAAAGGCTTATAGTATAAAGCTGCAGAGCCTCCACTTTGCATACTCCTCCTCTTTTCATCCTTCTGGTTCCCAGGGAGCAGGGGGTAAGAGGAAGTGGGGAAAGGGGATCTACATGCTTGCAGTAAGTTGAAATTCTATACAGGTAGTCCTTGCTGAATGACCATTCATTTAACAACTGTTCAAAGTTACGACAGTGCTGAAAAAAGTGACTTACGACCAGTCCTCACACTTACGACCATCGCAGCATCCCCATTGTCAAGTGATGAAAATTTTGGTGCTTGGCAACTGGCATGTATTTACAACAGTTGCAGCACCCTTAACAACTGCATCACTTAGTGATGGAAGTTCCAGTCCCAATTGTGGTTGTAAGTCGAGGACTACCTGTAATACCAACTGTGATCATTGACCAGGTCCACCCATTATGAACAAGACAAAACTTACAGAAGCAATGTTCCACTCCCGAGGAATGTGATGCATGAGCTACAGCTAACTATTATCAACTGGTCCACTTTTGGAATCCTTGCAAGGTAGGCTTAGTTAAATGGAAGGCAGGCTGTCATGAATGAAGCCCTTTTGCTTAAAGCTGCTCTCAGGGCTGCAAAAGTCCAGACCACTAGCAGATGTGTTGCCCTCTGCTGATCATCTAGATCAGTTTCTCAACCTTGGCAACTTTAAGATGTGTGGACTTCAACTCCCAGAATTCCCCAGCCAGAAGTCCACACATCTTAAAATTGCCAAGGTTGAGAAACACTGATCTAGATTTATGCAGCCCAGATCCAATAGCCCTATCTTTGCTTCTATTCTAGGAGGTGGTGGGGTGGGGGAGAAAGGGGGATGCCAACTGTTGCTCACCCAAGCGCTGCTGCTTGTCATGACAGATTTCTCGTAGCTCCTGCAACTCCTGGTATTTGATGGCAAGGGAAGCTTTGCCATTCTCTAGCCGAGGCTGCAAACCCAAATTTTGCTTGGCGAGGTTATAGTTGGAAGCTAGGTGCATCTCCCGCTCCAGCTGAAGGTTCTGGAACTGAAAAGACACATATTTATTGAGAGTTTGGGCCAGTCTGAAAGGTCTCTGTGTGGTCATCTGTTGAGGTGGTCAGAGTTTCTTCGGGTTCTGCTAGCCTTCACGGTCATCCCGGTCATCCCGGGTTTTTCCCATGAATGCATGGAGGGGAGGATTTGGACTGGTTTTATTACAGACTTATCATCCAAACAGGGAAAGCCACTTTCCCTGTTAAAAACAGCTTGCATGTTTAGCTGCAATACCCTCACCCCACCCCACCCAAATCTAGTTTGATGCTCCTGCTGCTTCTCCTACCTTTTTCCTCAAGCTGTTGCTATACACATCTTTAGATCTAGGCTTCCTTCTGTATCTTGCAGCCTGACTTTCTCATTTGAGCTACCTCTTTGCTAGTCTTTGTTCTGCTTGTCCTTTACTGTACACACTGTTGTCTGGGTTGTATGTTTATAAGGATACAGAATTGCGCACTATGCCTATTGATGGTTCTGCTATCATCATCATCATCACCACCACCATCGTCATTTCTGTTTCAAAATATATCTGATCCCAAACTATACAGATATTTAAGAATTGTAAAATACAATTTGAAGATAGAAATTACATTTTCTTTACAAAGTGATTATGACTGATTCGGAACAAAAGAGTAAAAGAACCAGCTTACTGGCACCCAAAGGGAGTGATTGAGTTCTGGAGTAATGTATTGCAGAGAAATAACTTCCCCACAGGACCCTCAATGGCTGTGTTTATACAACATGCTCAAGCAGGTCACAGAAAGGCTGCCTTCATGCAACATACAAAACTTAATAATGTTAACCCAATGAATTGTGTGGTTAGTTATAGTTCAGAGTGTTGCGCAAACCAGAAAATGGATTAACTTGGTAACCAAGTTAAGTGAGTCATGTGAATACAGCTACCAAGCTGGTCTGAATGGATGCCTGAATTTATCAAAATAATTCTAATTATACAGCAGCTGCCACCAGAATAAAGCATGACTGAAGAATTTTGTGCTCAGAAGTCATGGATTCCAATCTCCTGAATTCATGAAACAGTCGCTTTAGGCAAAAGACCAACTTTTGGCCTTCTACAATCAGGAGCTAAAATTCTTACCTATCTTAGAAGGCTGTTGTACATACAACTAGGAAAAATAACTCTGAAGGATTAGACAAGGGAACCATGAATATACCAATGGCCCCGTTCATACAACTTGCTGAAGCGGTTTTTTTAAAATCCTGGTGGCTGCAGGGGCATATCATGCAAGCTTGATTAATTTTAATCTCGGTTAGGGATTTTGTGTGAGATTTAGTGTGTTGTTCAAATCCAGAAAGTAAATTAAGTGTTAAATGTGTTGTGTGAATGCAATCAGTGGGCATTATGGAACAGTTTCATTCTGGGAGTACAACTAATACTCTGTATTAAAGATGTGGAAGGGAGGGAATTTTTTCCAGCTAAATTCAAACATTAATGTCTGAGGTTGGAGCCAGGTTTTCTCGTGATTATTAAAGTTTTTATAATTTTCCAAACACAACACTTTTGACAGACGTATAGGCCAACTATACACACACACATTATTTTACAGATCTAGTCACGTTTCGTATGCATAAACAGGCCCCAAATGTTTTAAAAGTTGTACATACTCCATGTTTGGATCCCAAAACAATGTACAGGTGGCAACATTATTTATTAGCATTATCTTCCACGTCTTTTTTTCCCATTAATCAGCTGATTGAAAAACAAGTATTTGCCAACTCTTAGCTGTCATGATCTGGTCAATAACATGGACCCTTGAGAAGTTACTCTGGTCTGCTTTTGTTCCTTCATACTGCCAACTCTGAACCCTCTTCATGGAAGGAAAGTAACTCAGGAGCACGGCCAGCTATTCTCTGTCACCGATTGGCACTCAATCACTGAATGCGGTTTACCGTTTCTAGCTACAGCAAGCATAGAGCCACTGTGAGGCTGCCAAAGGATTATTCAGCTAGGCCTGCTGCCCTCATTAAACCTCTGAGCAAGCTGAGTTGTGAGGGCTCATCAAGAGTCTTGAAACTATGATGAATTGCCCTAAACCTAAAAGGCAACATTGTGGGATGGTCTTCTGGTCAATCGAGATCAGTGTTTCTCAACCTTGGCCGCTTTCTGATGTGTGGACTTCAATTCCCAGAATTCCCCAGCCAGCTTCTGGGAGTTGAAGTCCACACATCAGAAAGCGGCCAAGGTTGAGAAACACTGATCTAGATTACATGGTGTATTTGCGGTTCATCTTGTACTTTTCTTCAGTTCGTATTTGGGGAAGACAGATGTGCTTATTGGACCATCTTAGTTAGAGTTATGGGGGCCATTGGTGATGGCAAACTATGGAGAAAGGTCTTGACCATCTTGATGGGCAATTTTTCAAAGGGCATTGGGCTTATGATCTAGTAACTCAATACCTCTGATCACACAACACACTGTCTTGGTAACTGAATTAACCCACTCTCTGTTTTGCACAGGACACTGGACCATAAACTCTCCAAACAGGCTGGATTCACGCAACATATTAAGCCACAAAAGACTAACCAAGGTTAAAATTAACCAAGATTAACACAATGATTGAAAGCAGCCGCTAAGTCTTCTAATTGACCTGGTTAAGGATTTTGTATAAAGGCCACCAGCATCGCCTCGAGAGCACGCCAAGGGCAGTACCCGGCTCGTCTGAACTGACAAAGCTAGAGCAAAAGTGGGGCTATTTTGCCGGCCATTGTTGGAAAAGAGGCGGAGAAGGTGCCTTTCCAAAATCAACAGCCTCAACGTCTCCTTGTGAGGATGGATGACAACATGTGTGACGTTGCAACTGTGAGACCAGGAGCAGACTCCAATGAAGGTCTGGGGGCCACAAAAAGGGGTGGGGAATTCCTGCAATGGGGGGGAGCGAGGAGGAAGTTAGCTGGATGCCAAATAAATAAATAAAGGGGGAGGTTTTGCTTTGTTTCCACGCCTGTCGAAAGGCAAAAATCATACGCCATTTATGATGAAAATGCCTGACATGCTGTGGCACTTAATTCGGCAACCTTTCTCTGTTATCCAGCACAAGACATGTTGCCTGCCTGGCTAGACACAGTCAACACCCCCACCCCCCACCCCCCGCCCGTGTTTCCATGGCTGAGTCAATGAGGCTTTGCTGGATCTCGGGAAAGAAATCCCTTTCTTTTCAGCACAGAGAAACAAAACAGGGTCCGTGGTCACCATTGTGGATGATTTTCGCCAGAGAAAAAGAGGGAAGGGAGGGACTGGTCCAGGATGGGGCTACTCTGTGAAGACAAAAGCACTGAGGCCTTGGGAGCATCCTCCCCCACAGCCATCACACCCACACCTTCCCTGGATAGCTCCATCTCCAGGACCCCAGACAGAGGGAGGCTTCCTCTGGCATTTCTTCTGGCATAATAAAGGGGGTGCATTTCAAAGAGTGCTGGGGGGGAGGCTGCTTTTCAGGGAAAGGAGGGGGTTGAGTGACAGGTGGGTGGAGAAGACCAACATCTGACAACAGCCCACAAAGGGGTCTATAGCATCTCTGGGGGCTAGAGAGGGGGAACCAGAGTAGTACAACACCTGGGTCCAAACCGGATCCCAGTGGCAGCTTTTAGAGGAGGGACAGGGGGTGCCTGTAATCCCTGGAGCTAGCAGAATGGGGTGAGAAGGAGGCAGATCTTCCAAGGGCACATCCAACAGTTGGGGCAAGAAGGCCTCCACCGCCTGGGGCCCAGCTGCCACCTTTGGGTCTTGTGCATTTGGGCCAACAGCTTCTGCGGAAAGGCCGAAGGTCTGGGCATTGTCTCTGGCACCAAGCACAGGCCTGGCTGAACTGGCACTGGCCCCCTCCCGTGCCAGGCTCCCAGCCCCGTGGCAACCAGAGCTACCTTTGCTGCAAAAGAGGTCGGGTGGCACAGCCCCAGGGGTGCCACGGGCAGTCTCGGCGGGCATCGGCGCCCCTTCGGATGCTCGGATTATTTTCCAAGGGGGCGGGGGCGGTCTTTGTATTTGGATGGAGAGGGATGGCTGC